GGCTACAACCCAGCAACACACCACACTAAGGACAGCATGCCCTGCAAGCAGAGCGCGTGCATGACGAAACACACCACAACATCACCAGCCCTACTCTATAACCCACCCGTTCGCCGCTGCTCACTAATAAAATACGCGCCTACCGACAGGCTCTTGGCACTTGGAATCGAATTGGCAGCACGCCTGAGTTCCGAAGCCCATGAATTGTCGTCCTGAGCACTTGGTCCGACAACAGGCCCGGAGTGGTGGCTACTGCCTGGGTGGGTTGACCGTTGGAGGCTAAGGTCTCTTGCACAGCAGCCAGCTGTTCGCCCTGACTCTTCTGCAGCCGAACGAGCTGTTTGACCACCACGGTGAGTTCCTTTGTGGCCTGCGTGGACTCTGACACCAAACGCTGCATCTCGCTCGACTGGCAAAGCACCATCCTCATGGCGGATGAGAAGTCAGCCTGCCCGCCACCACTCCACGGGAAAGTTGAGCACGCCTGGTTTGCACCCCGCAGCTCCCGGCTGGCCCGTAGAGGCAACCCCAAGCTGGTTTGAGACGGAGTGTTCGCTCTGCCGGAAGGGAGGTTGCGATACACAATAAATTACTAATGCTTGGGCTTCCGTGGCAATATACTGAATAGAATTACTAGTCGTAAGATATATGGTTACGACCCCACGAACATACAACAGATGGCTTGCAAACAATGGCCTGGGACAGACATAGCAAACCAAGAAGGGTGCTGATTAGAGCCAGGAGAGGCGTACATTAGTAAGGGGGGAACGGCAGAGAAGGAAAAGTGACAAGCTCACGACTGGATTCCCCTTCAACGTTGTGGGCTGCAGCAGCAACGTGGGAGCCAAGGCCCGTTCCACCCCGGCCTGCACCATGCCCCCTCCCCTGACCACGCCCTGGTCCAAAAGCAGAGTGGGCGTTAGCTAGACCGGAAGAATCGCACAATGGGGGTGAATGCAACATGATAGGGGGAAGGTCGCTAACCAGCATTGTATGGCCACCATGATATCGTTCTGTCATGCGCACTATGGAGAAGAGCAGAGGGCATGCTACGACAAGAGCTGCATGCCTAGAACAGCTCACCTCCTCCAGCAAGCGACGCGCCACTATTCTTCCCTGCAGCCCGGCCTGTGGGACGGGATGGCTGCCTGCGCCCAACATCGCCAGGCGCCTGCCCCGTGTCGTCTCCCCCCCATCATGTCCATTAATCTCTGCCAGGGGAAGCACAAGGGCCACCAACTTTGCTTCATGTGAGAAGCAACAATGAGTGTCGCATCGGACATGTAGTTGCCTCACGCATGACCGCGTCCCAATCGATCTAATAGCACCCATCTACACATTCGAGGATCATGGTGAGGTTGCTAAGGTGGGGAGTGGGAAGGAAACAGGTCAACCTTCACTGTCATCCTCCTCCCCCACCCCCTCCTCCTCCACCTCCTCCTCCCGTTCCTCCTCCTCGTCGTCGTCGTCCTCCTCCTCCCCCTCATCCTCCTCTTCCTCCTCCCCCTCCTCCTCCCCCTTCTCCTCCTCCTCCGCCCTGCCACTTTGCTTTCGGGGTTGCCTCTCCTCGCGCCTCGCCAGCTTTCTCAGCGCCTTATGCATCAGGCGTAAATTCCTGTCAGACAACTCCACACCCTGACCAGCAGAATCCCGTCCCTGCCTGTTCCTCTTGGACGGCCTGTCATTTGTGTGCCATTGTTTCCCGGGATAGCGCTGGCTAGGGAACCGTATTCGGCCACTGGGAGTATGTTCACTGCCGGTTCCCAGCAGTTCGCTGAAGTCGTTGTCCATGTTCCACCCAGATTACAAGTTATGGCGCCTTGCCACGCTATAACACCCACCACTCGTCCAAAGATTCGGAACTCGAGTGAAGGGAATAAAGAACACGTTACAGTGGAATTATACCGCGCCAAAACCATGCGACTGCCCACCAGTACCCTAGTGTTTCCTGCCTTACCAAGCTGCAAGTCGCGTAGCACCGACTTTCGAAGTATACCCGTGTGATCGAGGGGACGAACACGCAGGCGAAAGGTGTTCGACACGCTGCCCAGAGCGAAATCCCTTTTACGATGTGACGGAGCACTACACGAATTAGTTGCGACAGCCTATCCTCGACGGCGCACCGAACCTGTGGCTGACTGCCCGTACGCGGTAGGCAAAAAATGTAATATCGGATCATTGGTACGCGGTAGACATGATGTCTCTACACCTGGCTACTACCGAAAGAATCGGTCTCTGGGGAGAAACGATCAGCACCGACAAACGCCACAGACCATTACAGTCGGTGCGCAGCCGCTGATGCACGACGAAGGCGGAAGCTGCGCTGTGCTCTCGCTGGCAGTCACGCCTGGCCACTGCTCCGCCCGCAGCATAGCCAACTCCAACACGTTTTGAGCGTGTTCCTGCGAGGGTTATGACCACCTCTTCTCGTCGTTCCCAGCTCTTTGATTAGGTTCTGTTGTCGCCTGGTCGAATTTGGAGTATCCGAACCAACATCCTGGGTTTCAAGGGTAGATATGCACACCACAAAATAAGTTAAGCACCTCCTTTACAGCGTTGTAGATGGAACTAGTCAGTCATATTCCCTAGAATAAATAGAACAAACTCGAGAGCACGCTGCCCCATAGCCAGAATCTCATGAAGATGCCTTCAAACGAGCTTCCCACCAACTGCCTGGATGAAAGTAAGTGCTACGTACTTACCCTAAAAACAGGGTAAATAGGAGCGATACTCAAATCTGATGGCACTCTGGAAACAGCTGAGGGCGTGGTACTTTGGGCGAAGTGACTTTCCGAACAGGTCAGAAAAGGTTATGCGTGGTACAGTAATGCTTAGAATGGTGCAGGGTGGTGTTGAAACGCCAGTGTCACAGGCCCTGTCGCACTTGAAAATTCACGCGAACACATGCTGACGCCTGCACCACCTAGTTCAGTATCTTGTGCGTTATAGGAGCATGCCGCTGCGCAACGATCAACACGGAGTACAGTTCACTGTGTTTACTAGCTCTATTAGTAAAAACCCCATTTGCAGCACAGCGCTAAACAATTTACAAGGGTCAAAGTAATCAGAAATCCACAAACACTTCAGTACTTATCTCAATCAGTCTAAGCATCAGCAATTGGGAAAAGAACTCAAACACACTATTGATAGCTGTGGTCGTTATGAGAAGTTTCATGCACTCATTCATACAAATAACGGAACAACCGGCGGAGCTTCTCTCTCTCCAAGGTTGGCAGCATTTCCGCAGTCAACGCAAACCACACGTCTACACGGCCGTAAGGATCCTTTGCCACTCTAGTATCTGCACAAGAGGTTCTCAACAGTGTTACTAGATAGCAGATTGCAGATAATGTTCCAATGTGCGGAAACCATAAACATGCATCACCCCTCACCCGGTACATTCTCCTCGTCGCTTTGATGGTGTTGAGTAGGGCTCGAAGGCTCCATGACCCTCGCCTTCCATCCGGCGTCCTCTGCAGCTCCCGGCTGGCGCCTCTTGCGTGCCGCATGCCCACTTGGTCCCGCGACTGGGTCTACGCTGTCATGTAACTCGCCCTTGTATGCGCGGAGCTCGCCTGACCGTTTGAGCCTCCTCCGCTCCTGCCACATTTCGGGTGTCAGTCGCATGCCAAACATGCGCAAGCAATCTAGTAAATGATTCGATAAGTGGCCACCACTGAGCTGTGAAGTCGGCGTGGTAGAAATTACCTCGGCTTCCTCGCCATTATCCACCGGCTGCGTCTCGTCGTAGGGCACTGCGGACTCGGTAGACTTAGGCCTCACGGGTTCCATGACCTTACACGATGGTTGTGCTATTCCGTTCAAACTAAATTGCAATAAGCGCAATACAATGTGAATCTGTCAGGGGAATACGTATACGGCCGAGATGGCAGTGCAGAAAGTCGCCTTCGCGTGCTGCAAGGCCATGCCCTGCTCTATACGCAACGAGCTGCACACACCCGAAATTTATAGGAACGAGGACACACGTGTTTGGAACAGATGAGCTTAGCCCGACCAGAAGCGTGGCTTCACGTGTTGCCATGTCCGTATCTCGGTTTGCCAATCTAGTCTACACGAGGCACTTCGATGGGGATGACGAATGCACTGCTGCTACACAAGCCAATGGAACCAATGGTTTAGAAGTTATGAGATGCTGTCGTTGAATTACAGGCCACGCGAGTGTCTTGGTGTGACGGCGGTGGTTTCCAACCCTCCGACCTCGTTCCCCTGTGTAGGGCAGGAGGGGCTCTGAAGGCCCTATTTTAATTCGTTGCGTGTCAGTTATTGTCTCGTATGTATTTGCGCTCAGGCGGTGGAGCGCGACGTACCATAGTTCCCAAGACACACTGCGGTCCTGTTACCCTGTCCAATTTCAGACAGGCTCCTTGAATGACCCGTCACAAATAAATGCGGCACGAAGAAACAGACCCAGAGGTTGCAGGCCGGCGTGCAAAATTACAGTGCGAGTGTCGGGCAATTGTCCGGTGTTGCTTCTCGTCTTTCTGGTAGAAGTTCATACGGGTGGCAACATTTTTGTACGTCACAACGTTCTCCGAACACTGTGCAAGCTAGCTGGGGTCACCAGTGGGAGTGTCCATGCGAGACACGTCACCACACTGCCTAGGCGCATCAAGCAGGAGGGATTAGTTGTCTTCGCATCTCCTCCGCATTTGTCGCTAAATCACCCACACTTACGCACTCTCGTTTAGGCTACGTAAACGACTTCCAAGCGCATCATAAAAGCGGTCGTGTTTAAGAAATGAGCAAGTACAGGCGTGGTTTTGAGAGAGTATGCAGATCCGTCATGTTCCTTAGCGCATTCATTCTCTCGCTGGTCTTTACATGCGTCGCTACTTGCGGACGCTGTGATCGTCCGTTTGACCGCGCGTCCGCGCGAGGAACCATTCCTCTCGCGACGAAGTATGTAGGGATAGGCCCGTCCCAGTTCCAGAGATCGCTACTCGTCCAGACTGCACTAATGGATCTCCATCTCACGCACACCAGCACGTAGCCCCGCAGCCTACACCGGTGGTCGAAGGGGTATCGTCACCACTATCGGCTGAGTCAGCGCCAGGCGTTCCGCATGGCACACCAGCAGCTGCCGAGGGGGATGACGCAGACCTGCCATCGGAGCCGCTCAACCCGATACTTTGAACGAGTTGGACACCAAGAAGGAAGTATACCGGTTCATAAAGTCCGTGCGCAATGGCGTCGGCTTGTCAAAACAAGAAACGAAGGATTTTTTTCCGCCTGATTAACGACCCACGGTTCGATCGTGCTGCAGTGTCTGACTGGCATGGTCTCGGGGACGTTGACAGGTACGGCAGCAGCGTCCAGGGGGGTCATCTTCGCACGTGGCACAAGGTAATGGTTCAGGTTCCCGGCATGAGCGAACCAATGGAGCTCGAATTTTGCGACACCCTCGAGGTACGAGACCTTTTTGGTCGCATGATACAGCTCGAATATGTCTTGGCTATGGTAATTGGCTTTGACTCACACATAGCGATCGTGTAAACCAGGCTATGCGGACCCTGTTTGCGGACCTGAGAATCGAGAGGGGTTCAAGCTTAAGCCAGAGCCGGAGTACGATGCGGAAGGGCGGCGTCAGTACGGGCGACCAGAAAGCGCACTTTGGTGGGAGGCTGCACAGGTGAGGTGCATTGGTGTTTGCCGAACCTTGACTGCTCAGCCTAGGAGTGCAAGTCGTCGTCTGGTGCACGACTTAGTCTCTCATGCTTTTTGCGCAAACCTGTTTGGCAGGCGAGCCTCCCGAGCCAAGACGACGTTGTTGCCGCCCTCATCGCCCTCAAGCGATGTTACGCATCTCAGTCATAATGGTCGGCAGAAGGTGTGGCCTTTGCAGATGACCCTTGCAACATCCCGAGGGAACAGAGGTGGCGGATGAGCTCGCGGGCGCTTGTTGCTCTGCTACCAATGCCGGATGGAGATGTGTCTGCTGCTGTGAAGACTGCTCTGTTTCAGCGTTGTATGGACATTGTTTTCAAGCCGATCCTTGACGCCTCTTTTTCGTAAGTCGGAAACAGGCCCCTAACAGCCAAGAGTTCCCTGCACATGCATCTTGTTGATCCGCCTTGACACAACCCTGGTCCTACTCTTTATTTCCCGTGCAGAAGCACAACGGTGCGGGATCCGTCTGGTGAGAGCCACGTTGCCTACCCCCTCATGTTTGCCTATCCGTGTGATTATCCTGAGGGCAGCCGTGTCACCAGCACAATGCAACAGCAGTCCGAGATGCCTTGTTCAATGTGCGAGGTGCCGAGACGGTCATTGGATGTCATGGGTCGCTCTTTCCCAAAGCGGACGATGGAAAGTCAGGCAGCTCTTCTCGGTGACAGTGACAGGGCTGCCAAAAAGGGCACCCACCCGGTCCCGGTATGTGGATGTCCTCCCCCTCCCCCCCACCCCTGCCTCCTCTTGTGTGCTCTGCTGCCGTTCAACCATCATGCTGTAGTTGTGGAACTGGTTGTAATTTTTATGCATCATGACCCTCTATTTGAGTCTCGTTCCAGTGCTTCCTCTGGAAATGGAACTTCGCCGACACCGATTGGGGTAACCCCTACATGTGCGTTCCGCCCGACGTGCTTCATGCTGTTGACATCGGGGTCTGGAAGCACATTATGGACCAGCTGCGGCAAAAACACAAGCGCGGTCGTCTACGTAGAATGGACAGGTAGACTGCCATTTGTCTCTGTGTCCTTCTATCCCTGCTCATCCTTCACTTCCTTGCCTTTGGGTTGCCACAACATCTGTGGATGTCGCTACCATATCATGCCGAGCAGCACTGGCACATAGTCGGTGAGTCGATGCGTGGCCTTCGACACCCCAGCGGCGTGGGTCATTGTGGGTTGTGAGTGGGCCTTGTGTCCTTGTTCGCATCCCTCGATTCCCCACCAGCTTGACTGCAACCGGAAAAATTCCCCATGCACCCATGCATGTGTCTCCACATAACTTGCAGGCGCCACCGGATGTTGTACAGGCTTACTCGTGCTGCTGGCTTGAAACTGCCAAAACCGGGCACATACTTCCAAGGGGGTGCAAACTATGCTGCAGCGGAGCACAGGGCCATGATGCAGGTTTGCCTCTTTATCTTCGAAGGCATACTTGACCCTGCGGAGATGGAGCTCATAAAGGTGTACCTGGACTGGTATAGCGAGTGCTTCCGTGTATCATCGCACACCGACGAGTCTCTGGCCCGGGTCGTTAGCAAATCCCAAACGTAAGTGGCGCCTCGATTTTATGTCCATCGAGCCTCCCATGCACCGCTTCCTACTTCCCCTGCCGCCGTCTCCCCTATGTCTTACGTGTGTTACCGCTTCAGTTCCTACTTGCACCGTCTTTTCCACCCCATTCTTCCCATAAGTCTTCCTCTTTGCCTTGCGTGGGCATGGTTGCCATCACTTACTTGCCTGCCCCCTGTTTGCTCCGTTACTGCCCTTCCCTCCGGGCGTTGATGTGCTGTTGACTGCCCCGTTACAACCTTTCTCGTTGGTGCTGACCAATCTTTCACAGTCCGTCGATTCCCTTCTCTATGCCCTTGATGTCCCCCTGGCTGACTCGTTACTCCCATTGACTGCTCCGTAACTCCCCTCACCCCGTCTCGATACCATACCCTTGGCTTCCCCGTTACTCCCCCTTGAATGCCCCATTAATACTCTTCAATGCCCCGTTGATCCCCTTCACCGGACCCCTGGCATACCCTTTTCATGCCCGTCCCTCCCAGTGCCCTCGGTGTCCCCTTCCCTGTACTATTACGTCCCTTCCCTGTTCCATTTCTGGACTTGTGCATATGTTTCGTCTGTCGCCAGCTGCATACCTCCCCCTCCCCCTCCCCCCGGTGTTAGGATTGGCATAGTGTGCTGCTGCTAGGAACAGAGTGCGGGATCTGCGGCAGGTGGATGTTACACCGTGTCTCTCCCACCACTGCATCCCAGTTTCATGCATGCGACCCGCCGGCGGTTGCCAAGTTACCCCAACTAACTTCCCAACCCGCATCCCTGCCCTGAACTCGTGCCGTTCCGTGGCATCCAGGCTGACCGGAGTACGCATCTCATAAGCTCCGGTCTTCCCCTTGCCCATGTATTTTCATCCAGCCTCCTGGCTCTTTGTAAGAGAATGTGCCCCAAGCAGAAGTCTAAGTGGCGACTTGTGAAGATTCATGCCATCACGCACCTGCCGTATGCCATTAAGACCAGGGGCATCCCGGAAGAGTATTCTACCAATCTTTTTGAGCATTCCCACCAGTCCCTTGTCAAGAGGCCCTACCGCCTGTCGAACCGGCGCCAGATCAACAGCACCATTCTAGCTGTGGACGAGGTGCGTCGGGCGCTCAGTGACCTGCCGTCCGCACTACAGACTGACGACCACTATTACACTGCCATGAAGGAGGTGGGTCTTGTCTCTCCTGCCCCTTTTCCATCACTGACTGTCCGCAAATCGGCGCATATAGATGGTGCAGACAAATCCTGTTGGGGTGACGTCTACTGAGGTGCGCTTTGCAGTACCACCGCGTGGCTACCTTGGCTTCGACTGGGGGCACGCATCCGTAGGCACCACCCATCTTCGTTTGCTGGATGTTGGCGCTCATCGTAGTCCTACTCACTGGCCTCACCTCTGTCCCTATCCGCCGGTCTTTTGTCTCACCCTTGCGTTCTCATCTAATGTGGTGTGCTTCATCCATCTTTCCTTTATGTCTGGCTGTATCTGCCTCTGCC